AATTCTGTAACTCTCCGCAAACCTCCGGAAATTGAAGGGTAAACTGGTTCTGGCTAGAGCCGAAGGGACCGAGCGCAGAAGCGCGAGTCGAGCGCCAAAGGCGCGAGCAATGTAGAGGGGTCCGGGGGCATTCTCCCCCGGGAAATTTTGTATTTTCAAACCTTCAATGACGCATTTTCCTGCACTTTGATAGGCAAAATTAGGCGTAACGAAGAATTATTCATTAACGCTTAACGCTGAATTCAGGATGACAAATAACGTTTTACGTTGAATTAAAACGACCAATAACGCTTCACGAGGAATATACTGATAACGCTTAACGTTGAATTAGAGCGGGCCGGCAACGATTAACGGTAAATTGAAATAGCCCATAACGGTTAACGAAAAAGGGCATGCAGACCCTCTATGATGCATTCTATCTTACAAACTCCATGGGAATTGTCTGAAAAGACATGCGCACATGTTATCAGTTACATGTACTTCACACAACATAGCCTTCAAATTTACATGATTGAAATTAGTCCTCATGAATCTGGACCTTCAGCATCAGTCTTGCTGACCATCTCTGCCTGACCAGACTGACCCCCCCTGTCCTGCCTGTTCCCCTTGTCTAACATCTGTTCCACAGTGGGAGTGCTCTTGTCAGAGTGGGAGTCCTCAGTCACCTCCATGTTCTGCGTCATGGCTGACAGTTCAGACTGGAGAAGCCCTGTACCATAAGCCAGGGCCTCAGACGAAACCGAATGGTTGCCATGGTAACTAGATGCCCCTGTTGCCATGGAAGCTATAGCCTCTGGTTGGGCAACCACCACTACATTTGCTGTGGAAGACTGAGACAGTGTAGAACTCTGGGGCAATCCTATAAAGTTGATAACAGAAAGGCAAACATTATGTAGCTGCCAAAACTTAAAAGCAGTAAGACATGGTTTTCCTAACAGGCAAATACTAGTACATGTAGATGAAACATCATCCATTGAGTAGCATTATTCTTATGCTAGTTAAAGTAGAAGTGTACATCTGTATAATCATGAGCTATCAATGTGCATTGCATCAAGGTTATTTCAGAGCAAAAGTTGCTACCTTGTGGCTCTGCTGTCATGAGGTTGTGAGAGAGACACAGCTGATCAGCCTCCTGACTCTTGTCAGGCAGCTGTGTGGTGACTGTCACGATGTTGTCACTGCTGGGGTGGCTGAACACAGCACTGTCCTCTGCAGACTCAGAATCATCTAGCCCTGCAGAATATCAACAATGTAGTGTTCATCAACCAGCCACCTATTGTGTGGGGCTTGTGATTTTTGTTTGCCATCACACTCTGGAGCATATCCTTGCCATCAGTTATATCATGATTGGTTCTTTAAGGAGCCCAAGAGAAGCACCCTCCCGAGCAGGGTCAGTGACGCCGCCCAAAAGGGCTCCCGTCTCTTAGCCTGGTTACCGCAAATAGCGGAGAGGATGTAGGACTCGGGAGCTATAATAGGTTTGGTAACCAGGCTACCCGTCTCTAACCCTGCCAAATCAATGTGGATTCGGCACTCCAGACACGGTAGCCTATAATGAGCTGTCAGTCAATCAGAGACAAAGCTTTCAGTTGTGCAAAGCTAAAGGCAAAGGTCGCCAGGAACCCAAGAGCCAATCATGTTACGTCTTACATCGCCTCTTTGGGTTTTATGTAAAATGGCGGTAAATTATAATGTTGTGTTAGCCATGCAAGACTTTTTTGGCGTCAAACAGCTCACGAACACCAGAAAATCACGCTACAGGGACTACCGGTACTTCAGTACTCGATGGCCGAAACGTGTTTCTTAGGACAGGCGGAGGGAATGGCCTGTGTTACATGGGCTTTCAAGACGCAGCCAGATGGAGCAGGCAGCGACGGAGGTACGGTCTACTCAACTCAAGAGCGACGAGTCCAGCATTTGTGGCCGTCTGAAGACGACCTCATTATTGTAGTGAGTCCGCTCAACGCAATAATGAAAGTGTAATGTGACAAGCTGAGCTCGATGGGCCTGAAGGCAACTTGTCTTAGGTTATTATATATAAGGAACGCAGCCAAGCCGAAACAGGAGACAGTGGTGCGGCGGTGCCAGTGTTTACGTCCGCCATCTTGAATTTATATGATCCGGGTGCTGATTGGCTTGTGCCAAATAAGGCAAGCTCATTAATATGTATAGGCTACCTCATCTGGAGTGCCGAATCCACATTGATTTGGCAGGGTTAGAGACGGGAGCCCTTTTGGGCAGCGTCACTGACCCTGCTCGGGAGGGTGAAGAGAAGTTGAGCCTTCTTTTTCTCAAGTTTCTACATTATTGAGCATTAGATATGACATAATCAGCATGACATCTCCATATGAACTAGAACTGTAGGGTAGAAAGAGCCAGCTTCTCTACCCTGCATCCCCAAGATGTCCTCAGTCTGCCTGAGGCCCAGGCTAAGTCCCATGTCCTCAGAAACTGTGCGCTGGCCTAACAGCTCACTGGACTCCATCTCTCCTGCCTGGATGGCAAACAGCTGGGGAGGAAAGGGAGTGACACAGTATTGATATCCCGCATTGACTGCAGACACCTATCGCTCTGGTCCCCAAACAAAAATAACAAACAGCCTGGATACCAATACTACTAGGGTACTTGTTTGCTAACACTTTAGGCAAACACAGTCAAACTTGGCTACTGTGGTCAACAAACATTACTGAATCAGGAACCTCTACCAAGGGAAAGAATGGTCAATGAGAAAGAGTCAAAGCACACCTGGTGTTTTCTTCTATGAGTATTACGGCTGCCGCTCTGGGTGAACTGCTTCCCACACACCTCACAGGCATATTGACGCTCTCCTGAGAATGATTAAATGAGAGTTTCAAAATGAATTGTAGTCACAGTTCCTAATAGTAATACAATTTCAATGTAGCAAATTACTGGACAGATAGAGAGATCTGTGAATAAGAAAATAGAGTTGGGCATGTTGAAAAGTAGAAGAGGTTTAGTTGAAGAGAAGATTATACAATCAGTAGGAACGTCCATCATATAGCCATTTATAGGAACATCATCTCAACAAAACAGAGATTTCCTGCTTGCCTGAAATGAAGACGTCATACCTGTGTGAGTGTTCTGGTGCTTCTTGAGGCTGGAGTACTCTGTGAACCGTTTGTTACAGCCCTCATGCTGACACGCAAAGGGCCGCTCACCTACATGTAACAAATAAACTATAGATAACTGTTCTTTTGTAACTTTGGGCAGAGTAGACACATGGATATAAAACAGAAAAGGCATGACTGATCAGCAACAATTTTATCAGGCTATCCTCAGCACTTGCATCCATGATAGACATATATAATAGCAGTAAAGCTACATAGGCTACTATAGTTCAAGTGGTGTCATTACCTGTATGGGTGCGTGTGTGATTACGCAGGTTCTGTGCTGTTGTAAAGGCCTTGCCACACCCCTCCTCTGTACACCTGAAGGGTCTCTCCCCCGTGTGTGTTCTCACATGAACCCTGAGTCTCTGTGGTGTGTAGAAGGTGCTGTCACAGCCCTCAGCTGGACACCTGTACTGGCGCTCACCACTGCAGGGATACGAAAATACAAATGTACTAGTAATCATGTACAAATGTACTAGTAATCATGTTATTTTAGTGCTTAAATTAGAAAGGTTCAAATTGGCAAAAAGACATTTCAAAGATGCAATGTTACCTATTTGTTTTTTGAAATTGGGAGACAAGAATACATGCCGTACGTGTGAGTCTTCATGTGGTACTTGAGATGTGCAGGCCAGGTGAAGGTTCTGTCACATCCCACTGCCTGACACTTGAGGAGCCTCTCTCCTGTATGGGACATCTCATGGTACTTCAGGTGACTGGAGGAGGTGAACTTCTTCCCACAGAACTCATGGCTACATGCATGCACAGGTTTAGCTGTAGACAAGGTGATATATAGTTTTTTAACTTACAAAGCCCCATCCTATGTATAGCAATAAACTAAAATTCTGTACATTTGTTGTCTGTAAGAAAACATGTGCTACTATGAAAGTTGTGTGTTCTTCTCTTTTCCCATTAGTTTTCCATTCAATGCACACCTAATGTACTTGAAACTGAAACTCTATTTAAAAGTCCCCAACGTCCTCCAGTATGTCTATGACAGTGGAAAAACTGAAGCTACCAATACCTGCTGGTTTGGGCAAGGGAGCCATATACTGTGTGTTGGACATCTGGCCAGCCTGTGCCATGGCTTGAATCCTGAGTAAGGCTGCCATATTTGTATGCTGACTGTCTGTTAGATTGTCAGATGACTTTTGCAGCCCAGGGTTCAGAACCACCAGAGGGTTGGGTAGGTTCACCACTACAAGTCCAGTGTTCATGTCCACAACTTGTACAGGGGAGGACTGTTCCCTGACCCCAACTGTCGCATAAACAGTGTCATCCACTTTGGTTGGCTGTTCCACAGCATCATCAACTACACTGTCATTGGCTAACACTGCCTCTCTACACAGGACAACTTTTTCCTCTCCTTGAGCAGAAAGGGTGGTGGCAACAGACGTAGCTCCAAGCTCTGGTACTGAGCTGCTGGCAGCTGGTAGTGAACTCTGCGTGAACTGGGGATCTAAACATTCAAATCCTGTTTGTTCTTGGGTCCCTGATGCTCCATCCACAAGGCTACTGAGGGTCCTGATTGTAAACTGGTGCATTTTCTGTCCTTCTGCAGATAGCACAATTTGAACACCCTTCTCACCATCTCCTTCTTCAATAGTTACATTGTCCTTTTCTACAGCTTGTTGCATTTCCATTGTCACAGAAGTAAGGAGTAACTCCGGTGAAGTATACTGACTGTATGGATAATATTGGATATATAGGTGAAAACACAAATTGACAGTTGTTACCTTCAATATCACTTCTTCTAGTCACCTTGACACAGAGTTCAATCATCCAACCATCATTCTTAGAAACTATTCAGTCATTAGAAACTATTACTATTAGAGATCCTGAAATTGTTAAATGGAGAGATCTACTGAGTAAGGAATTTGTGATATTGCAGAGGGTCTGCATGCCCTTTTTCGTTAACCGTTATGGGCTATTTTAATTTACCGTTAATCGTTGCCGACCCGCTCTAATTCAACGTTAAGCGTTATCAGTATATTCATCGTGAAGCGTTATTGGTCGTTTTAATTCAACGTAAAACGTTATTTGTCATCCTAAATTCAGCGTTAAGCGTTAATGAATAATTCTTCGTTACGCCTAATTTTGCCTTTCAAAGTGCAGGAAAATGCGTCATTGAAGGTTTAAAAATACAAAATTTGAAAAATATGAAAACATCAGAAGGACCGACAAACACTCTCAACACCATGATTTGCCTCTCAAAATGCGGGAAATTGCGTTTTTGAAGGCTTAAAAATCCTAAATTTCCCGGGGGAGCATTCCCCCGGACCCCCCTAGATTAATCCATCGGTAAAACTGGGCAGACTGAAAAAATACAAGCTGACCGACGTCGACTCGGACTCCCCTTTATTTGTGGACGCACTCGGGGACCAGGACAGGTGGGAAACACAGGGAACACATACCTTTAATGCATGCTTCATTACATGTAAGGTATACGTAATTTTGTCAGTGATCACCTTTTCTCACAAAGCGAGATACCAAATCCAGTGCAGCTCGAAAAAAAGCCTGTCAATTTACCGTTAAGCGTTGCCGACCGTCCTGAATTTACCGTTAAGCGTTATCGTCCCTGCTGAATTTACCGTTAACCGTTGCCAGGACCCCCCCATGCAGACCCTCATTGCAGGCCCGATATTGCACGAGCCTTGCATCACTAGCAACACTGTGCTGAGATTGCAAAGAAAGTCCCAGATTTCACCATCAAAGCAAACTTTAACCTCCTTGATGAAAGTCATCTTTGGCTAATAAGCCAATCTGTCCCTTGACCTACCTAAAGTAATACATTATTAAAAAATCCCTAAGGGTTGGTGTAAACCTATGCAGTTTTTTTTAAATGTAATTGATGGATAAAAGGTCTTCTGATTGAACATAACATTTTTATGAAAAAAGGAGATTGTAAATGTAAAAACAAAAATATTGAGAAGTATTGCATTGATTTCAAATTTGGTCCTGAAATCTATCCCAAGAATTCAAAACCTGAGAAATGACAGATCCCATCACTGATATTATGTTACCATACCACTTACAAGTTACAGTGACCAATGATCACCAAACTTCTTCCAGAGTTTCTTTCAACTTTCAGTTTGTAAAAATACTGACTCCCATGTGACCATCCATCATCACGCTTCCCCATGCCCAATACTTACCTTAAATCACGTGTCAAAAACAACCGTGGAATCTTGCTACCAGAGTCCGTGTTTGTTTCATGTCTGAAGGACACGTGGGAAGTTTCGCTCCAAAATTCGAGGGACCAGGACAACTATTATGGTCTGCCAGAATATTATGGTGTACCGAAGGGTGGGAGGGCGAGTCCCCCTCCCAGGGTATGAAAATTGTATCACTCCGCCAACGGCATGCTTGTTTTTGTATGACCAAATGAAACCTGATTTTGCTTCATCGGAAATGTCGGAGATAAATTAATATGTTGCTTCTTATTATTTCTATCAGACAGGTCAGAAAAGATCATACATGGAACCCTCATTAAAAAACCAAGTTCTACTTTTCGAACTGCCCAATTACCCCGTGTATTTGACGGTAGCACTTCGAAACACCTCGTTGGAGGCAGATTCAAATAGGTGTTCCAAGACACGAAAATGTCTGTTTCTGTGTTTGCGTTATTTTTAAGCGTTGTGGTGTTGTGAAAGGTAAAATTACACACGCCCTACTTCTGCACAATGTCTACACAAAGGCAGACGCTCTCGCTGGTTCAAACCGGACAAAACTGGGCATTGCAGAGAGGAAAGCATGGTGGAAGCGTGATGGAAAAACCCAAACCTCCAACCAATCAGTGCCTAGAATTTGAAGGCGGGCTCTTTGAATCGGCATTTATGCAAATGAACCAGCCTTTGCCGAAGATGGCCGAGAGCACGGTCGTAAATGAACAAGGAGACTTTTGTCCAGTTTATTCACTAATGTAATGCAAGGATGATAAAATTACACATGCGAGAAGTTTCCACAGCATAAATCCTTATTCATCGTATTAGAAAAAGAAAATTTTGGTGCGTTGGTTTGGTACAAGGCGTCGGCAATCGTCGGTTGTTTTCGTACCTGATTATGTATCGTTGACGTTATGCCTGAGCCCAAACTGGTTGAAACCGGTTCTTAGGAACCAAAACTGTACATCGATCATTCACTATCAGAAGGTGGGTTTCAGAAATAAAGACGACTGTACAGCAGAAGCACTGTTGTTTACGGAGTATTTCTGACATGTTCATGGGTATTTAGTGACTTCAGGAGCCTGTTCGGCATCTTAGGAACGTATCACCATAACCCAGCACACCAGCTTTAGTTCCATTTTCCTGCCGGTAACCTTCCAGTTCAAACTGCCGTCAGCTGAACCTGGGGAAAGGCGGAAGTATTCAGGTTTGTATTTGAGGGTTAAACCTCGTTTTTAAGTGTTGTTGGACATCTAGTGATTTTTTATGGTCGAGTTTTGGTCTAGTGGGGTATAAAAAGTAGGTTTGGGCATGGTTTACTGTTGCACATGTACGTGTAGTTAGGGAACTGCCCCCTCGCCGTTCACGTGGGGAGTGGTGGCCGAATCAGGGCTAACCATGCACTGCTGGCGGGAAATGGTGAAATGGTTACAAGGTATGTTTCGAAATTCAATGTAGCTCACGACCATTGATTAATATAACGAACAATCTAACAAAAACACGTATACGATTGGTGCTAACATATATTTTTACCTTTGTCTTCCCCTTATTCACTAATATCAACACTGCAGTGAGTTGTAACGTTAATAGTAAAACTTATTTATTTATTAGTAACTAATGCCCCTACGACCGTCAATGTTATGGGACTTACATACATACATACAACTAATGCATTTAGCCCACGTGGGCAAGAACATGCAAATAAAGATCATTCATTTATTTTATTCAATATGAATTGTTAGGATAATGAAGGTGCCTGCCTTCTTTGTGCTCATTACTGATTAAAATTCAGTGTCTGTAAATGTAATGTATAACGTTAACTATCAAGTTCAATTACTAGTCTATTGCCATGTCCAGTTTTCTCCATTTTTTTGGTAGTATTGCTTTATTTCAGTTTGGCTTTAATAAATTCCTGAGCCTGCCATAAAATGAAAAATAGAAATAAGAATTGTCCTGGGGGCATAAATGTGTGTACAGTTCACTTCCACAGAATCCTTTACCATAATTTGTTGATACCTAGTGTATTTGTTTTGAAACAAGGGGAAAAAAGTAGAAGATGAATGATATGGATAGGTGTACTGTTCTAGCTCATATAGTCATAACTGTAAACATACCAGTAGACGGTACTACCGGTACAGCCAAGTCTGGTGCAGCCAGTCACCTCCAGTCATGAGCCATATTACCAGTACCGGTATATAAAAATGTCACAATTTTATGTAACGGGATTCAACAGAAGAGGCAAGTGTTATTTTCTAAATGACCATATTTCAATCAATACAAAATGAAACAAATTTTTAAAATTATAGAACAGATTACTAGGAAATGAACCATCTACTAAGTAAAGAGTTGTACCCTCCAAATTATCCTTTGTTTCTCCTGAGTATATTGTGTAAAGCCTATGTCATAATTTGCAGCTGAATTGATTAAAATTCTTTGTGTGCTCTACCATTTGTGATTTTAACTTGTGTATTCATTTACTATTACATGTTTGTACTACTAGTATCGTATACCCTGTATTGTATAGTCTCTTGTGGACTAAATTATGCTCATAATGGTCATATAGGCAGCAGGATTTGTCCATGTATTTAACTAATCTTAAGGGGAAATGTTATCCTTACAACCTTCACTCCACTGGCCAATGTTATTAACCCTATTTTTCTAGAATTCCACTATCCATAACCCCTTAGAAAAGCTTTACCATACACCAAGGACGTATAAGTAAAATGTCCTTGAATACTCATGTACCAGGGCAGCCAACCAATCTGTGGGGAGCAACCACTCCCCCTCACCCATGTCACCAACCATTTTCCTGGCAATCCCTTGAGTGGTTGCCCAGATTTATTTCTAAAGGTTGTTTGTTCCATACCCAGATATTCGAAAAGCAACAAAGCTGATGAACAAGAAGGCATGCTATGTCATGTGACTCCTCAATAGTCAATACTAGTATCTCCTAAATACATGTGTATGTTAAAAAAGCAAGTTGAGGTTGAAGCATATAGCCTGAGTGCCATCTGTTTTTGTTGCTCCATTGCACTACATTTTTTTTCAAACAGCAGAGAAACAAATATGGATGGTACCCAGGCTATGAAGCATGTGCTTGAGATGAAGAGTCGTGTTTTTTCAACATTTACTGGCAGTAGCCTTTAATTAAAAGCTTATTTAATTGATTAAAAGCTTGATTTAATCTTACGTAACGACATGTAAATTGACGAGGGTTATGATAACACAATGATCTATGCATCATGTGGCCAGACTGGTTGTAAATTGTAAACAGGAATCCAACCCAAACCAGTTTGAGCCAGTTCCTTGATGATCCCAGGGCATGTTTTTCTGTCAGGGTTTCCTGCACTGCAATCACGACAAGCTTTATTTTACCATTATTTTAGCTGTTTGACTGGTTACTGTGCTACTGTTAGGCAGAATGGAGAAGGTAGTAGGCATGATTGAAAAAAAAATACCCTTTTTTGCTTGTTTTGCATTACCCGACAGTAAACTGCCTGAAGCATAATAATTAATACATCAGTACTGGCATTAGGACCTTTATTCACTCGCACCCTCCGGGGTGGACCTGTGTTCTCACAGCAATAACAAAAACTCAGGTGTGGCTCTCTTCAAACATCGGACCTCCAGGTTAATGTCTCATTTGACAGAATTGAGGCCAACATAAACTTAAACCCATTTTAGAAGTTTGCATCATGTACCAAACTATTTATCACATTTTTACTCTCAAAAAATCGGAAGCTGGAAATGTAACCACAAAATATTATGACTGTCACAAAGTTTCAGTATCCCCTAATGCTGCTTGTTTCAGGAACTGAGCATCCATGGTGATCGGAAACATGACCACGGTTGTGGAGCAGGCTGCCAGCAAGCTGCTCAACTTCAATGAAAAACTGGACATTAACTTGCTGGATAATGTTGTTAGCTGTATGTACACTGGAGAGGGACCACAGGTAAGCACAGCTGTGCAAACAAATGAAGAAGAACAAGTATAAGTGAACTTGATTGTTCTGCAGAAAAGTTACTGGTTTTTATAAAAATTTAAGTTCAACAAAAAGAACCCTTTCTTACTGAAACCTACTGAATTACTGAAACCTACTGAATTTGAATTGATCTTCAGATGCTTACAATATATGTGTTCTTGATTTTGAGAGTCTTTACTGGCATGTGTAATACAACTTTAAAAAGAGAATCAAAACAATATCACTGTTTAATCTAATGAACTGCATCATGTATTGGTCAGCAGCAGCGTATGGCTCAGGAGGTGTTGACCCATCTGAAGGAACATCCTGATGCTTGGACAAGGGTGGACACGATCCTGGAATACTCACAAAACCAACAAACCAAGGTCAGTGCCTTTCATTGGCAGAGTTTGGCAGAGTCAATGAGATATTGTTCAGCTAAAAATGGACAGGCTTGGTATAAACTATTGTACGTCTTTCCATGTTGATAGGTTTGACAACTGAGTATTTCAGTTAACTGTGTGCAGCCATAGCAGTTTTAGTACTGCATGTGCAGGGCCAGAAATAAGGACCTTGGTGATGAATAAAGTGAACACCATTCTTAACATGTTGACAAAACTAATGAAGAGCTAGCCCTGTAATGTGGCTTTATCAAAACCTGCTGAGTGATGCCACCTGCTAAAGTAGACCTCAAGGTGGACTAAATGTTGTACAGTCAAACAGTTGGTATATTCAATTTTTTGTTTAAATTCTCAAAATCTTTTTCCAGTATTATGCTCTGCAGATCCTGGAAAATGTCATCAAGACAAGGTGGAAAGTTCTACCACGCAGTCAATGTGAAGGTGGGCCAATTATATTGTGTCTTGCAGTCTTTTTGTGATTTACATTTTAAGTATTGTTAAAGTTGTAGGCATGGTTACCTGATACTGTTTTACTGTTACAGGCATAAAAAAGTACACTGTTGGGTTGATCATCAAGACATCACAGACACAGGA